TAATGCGAATGCGAATGCGAATGCGAATGCGAATGCGAATGCGAATGCGAATGCGAATGCGAATGCGAATGCAAATGCGAATGCAAATGCAAATGCAAATGCAAATGCAAATGCAAATGCAAATGCAAATGCGAATGCGAATGCGAATGCGAATGCGAATGCGAATGCGAATGCGACTGCGAATGCGAATGCAAATGCGAATGCAAATGCGAATGCAAATGCGAATGCGATCCATGCGGTCATGGAACTCGGTGCATAGAGTCGACGTCAGGCAGAATTGGCTGGACAGGTCTCATTATTGCTTTGAATACGCAAAGTGCAAATGCGAATGCGAATGCGAATGCGAATGCGAATGCGAATGCGACTGCGAATGCGAATGCAAATGCGAATGCAAATGCGAATGCAAATGCGAATGCGATCCATGCGGTCATGGAACTCGGTGCATAGAGTCGACGTCAGGCAGAATTGGCTGGACAGGTCTCATTATTGCTTTGAATACGCAAAGTGCATGTAGACCGAAGGTGACGTGAGTGCAATGCGGGTAATAAAGGTAACTGTGCAGCGGATGGTGTTTGAATGATGAGTTGAAGGGGGAACACAAAGCAGGTCAGAGTGCGAAATGAGGCGCCGCATGAAGGGTATAGAATTTGGGTGGCGGAGCGGGACCGAGAGAGAGAGTTCTCCCAATTGTGAGATTGACTTCTGAGCGCCTCAGATGAATTGCGAATAGATTGGTCGCACGCGGACGAGAACCGTATCGTTGTCGACAAGACCTTGTTGATAAAGCAAGTCGTCGTTTTCCAGCTCTTTGCGATTCGCCTCCGCGACCAATCGAGAATTGCAAGTGCTTTGATCAAGATCGAGTCCGAGGGCAGATGCTGAACCAGACTGGGTTTGCAAGACGTTGGTCGCGGCGCCAACGTAAGGCAACTCGACGCTCAGGCTGAGCTGACGGGGTGAGAGCAGGAAGCCTTGAGCGGTCGAGATTCGCTCAGAGATCAGCTCTTTGAGTTCCAAAGCTGATGCCGCGTTTCCGATGAAGATGTCTTTGAGGGATGCCGGCGAAAGACCCCCAGCGCTGCTACGACGCGACGGGCTCGCTGGCTCTTGCGCGAAGGCCAACCGTAGACGGATGGAGGAGGGTGGAGTGGGGAGGCAGGTAGGTGACCAGGGATTCTGCTCGCTGGCCAAAGCGGCAGAGTCGACTTCCTCATCAGTGTCCATCGCTTCATCCTCGGGACTATCATCGTCATCGAGCATTGGCTCGTGTGTAAAGCTCGAAATTGAGCTGGGCGACGGCGAGATGAAGTAGAAAGAATCGGGTCGACGTGGGCGCACTGGGATGTTGGTGTCCGCCTCCGCAAGAGGTGCGCGCATCGAAGAGGTCCTTGCCGACCCCGTCGTCGCACCTGATTTACGTCGTAGCGCCAGCAAGCCGGGCAAGAACGCCGTGGAAGATGCCTTGCTCGCATTCGTCTCGCTCTCCTCCAGCAACTGCTGAGCGTCACGGGTGAAATGACTCATCCGCTCCGTTGCGCTTGGTGCGATGAGAACCGGATTGCGCTTCGGAGTGGCTTCAAACATGCCTAGCCCCGCATTGATTTTGTCATGGTCGCTCATCGGGAAGGACTGGCAGCTCATCGAGCTATCGCTGTCATCAGCTTCCAGACCGCGACATTGAAAGCTCTCATCGCTCGATCGACGGATCAAACGGCGGCGCGCGGTAGTGTCGATGCTGGACCTGGGCTGCTGACCCCGGTCCGTGTTGGAGCTGGATCCTCTGCTCATTGCAGCGGCGGCGACATCTGGGAAGAACGCCGTGAAGGTGGACATGCGCCTGCGCTCCCCATTGGCGGGTTTCGCCGTGGCATGTTGGGGCACTGCAGTGGGCTGGTAACTCTCGTCGAACTTGTCGTCGAACTTGCAGACAATCTGGTCAGTGCTGCATG